GCCCTGACACTGCTGTATCCCTGGTATCCAAGGAGCAGGATGGGGCATCCCTAGGGACGGTGTTTGTGAGCTCTTCAGGTGTCTGAGGCTCGCTGGTGAGGTGGCCTGGGGTGACTTTCCTGGTCCGGCTTGGGTTGCAGTAGAGGAGGGGTTGAGGTTCCTGCTTTGGCTCCTCCAGTCAGGAGGCCCCCCTGCATTCCTGGCTGGACACTGCCACGCTCCCCCAGAGCTTCCCAGCAGCACAGAAAGGGCTGAAGGGATGGGAAGAGGGTGGCTTGTCCACCCTGCTGCCCCCAGATCGCTGCCACGTCACGACTGGACACACGTTTATCTCACTACTCTCAAAGCTCCTGAGGCTGGAGGCCCCCTGCTCCTGGGTGCTGCCCTTTGGCGCTAGGTGGGCATCCCAAAAGACGGGAAAAAAAGCCCCCCCATCTGTCTGAGCCAAGCAACTGGCACGCCCTGTGGGAGTGGGCACGCGGAGGGTGCCTGTGGGGTGCCCAGATCCGAGTCGTGTGCCCACAGGACCCACGAGACGCTGTGGATGTACCGGGGTGGGATTCGTCCCTCAGATGGCTGTGCCCCCTTGCCAGCCCCTCCACTGCCCTCCCCGGGAGTGCCAGCTTTTATTTATGGTGCCAAAGATAACGCTTCGTTTACTCTCCAAGGAGCGTGAGGAAAGGACCACCTTCCCCCTCAAAAATGGGCTGTGATGTCCTTCCTCCCGAATTCCCGGCTGCACCACCTTCTTCCCCTCCCTCCCCCCCCCGCCCCCCAAAATTCAGTGGTGGCCTGGGCATTGGTGCTTTATTGCATTAGGAATATTTGCAGTGGTTCCTTGCTGTTCCTCGGAGCAGAGGCCCCTCACGCCCCCCAGCTGGAGGGAATTTGGGCAAGGGGTTGGGGGGGGCTGCGCTGCAGGTGCTAACCCTGACCTCCAGCTGAGAGGTTGGGGAGAATTCAAAGCAGGGTGTGATGAAACACCCCCCCCTCCCCGCCTTCCTGCTGCTCTGGGGCGGTGATGCTCCAGGGCTGGCACCCAGCACTGGGTGTTTCATGGAATCCTGGAATGGCTGGGGTTGGAAGGGACCTGAAAGCTCATCTAGTTCCAACCCCCTGCCACGGGCAGGGACACCTTCCACTAGACCAGGTTGCTCTGAGCCCTGTCCAACCTGGCCTTGGACACTTCCAGGGCTGGGGAATTTATTCCAGCTGAGCTTGGGTAGCTCTGGCTACGCAGGGATTTGGTCCTGTCTCCAGGAGGAGAGGATGACTCCGGTCCCCTTCATCCTCCTGGGCCTGGCAGAGCCACCGAGTCATTCCTGTGATGTAACCCTTGTCCAGCGTTACCACGATGTATAAAGTTTTGTACATACGAGATTCAGAGCTTTTTAACTTTTAATATTTATTAATTTTGTTGGGTTATTTTTTTTTTTTTGAACTCTAACATAATGTAAAAAGAAAAAATAAATCCACGTAAAAATCTGTTTGTTTATTTATTTTAATTTAATTTTATTTTATTTTTTTATGTCTGGGGGGGAGCTTCTCAGTGCTCTTTTTTTTTTTTTCCAGAAGGCACAGGTAAGTGGTAGCAATAAATAAGCAGAGGCTGAGGAGCATCTGGGCCAGCCCGGGTGAGCAAGGAAAGACTTTCTGGAGCTGGGAGCCAACACAACCTGGACTGTCTCTGTCTTTCCTTCTCTGCAATGTCTCTCTCTCTTTTTT